ATTTCCTGCAGGAGTGCACAGGAGCGGAGCTCCGGCAGTAAAGAGCCCAGGGGGCGGGCACATGCAACAAGCACCACCCCCTGCTCCCAGCAGCCCTCAGTCAGAGCAAGAAACAGCCAGGTATGTTGCAGAGCTCCCCCCCCGCCAACCCCCCCGGTCCAAAACAGTCCAGTGGCACCTTTAAGACTAAGGTTTATTCAGGTACAAGCTCTTCCTCCTCTGGGAGGGCAGATCTGCACGTTCCCCCCCCCCCCCGGCAGCTAGCAATCCCAAACAGTCCAGTGGAGCCTGAGCGGTGGGTGTTGCCTTCTGACACACTCCCGGTGATGTCAGGGGTGTGTGGCATATGCAAATAAGTTATGCTAATGAGTTATGCTAATGAGATCCTGCACCTCTTTTTCTACGGAATGACCCCTGATCCCAGGTATATGCCTTGCACAGTTCAGAAAGGGCCAGCATATCAAGCTGGTGGTCCGGCGGCCAGTAGCCCATTATACAGTCGGTACCGTGTACAGCATAAGTTGATCGAAGCAGGCTGGTTTGCTGAGGGGAGGCCATGAATTGGACAACCACAACCAGCTCCATCTTGCAGGTCCTGTGGAATAAATCCCACAGGACCCCGATCTCATTTGGAAGCATGTTCCACCGGACTGGAGCCACAGCCGAAAAGGCTCTGATCGAGGGTAAGTGGATGTCTTTTGGGTTGGGGATTACCAGATGTTGAACCGGTGAGCATAGAGTTCGTCGGGGGGGTCATATTGGGAGAGACAGTTCCGCAGATATGTTGGTCCCTGACCTCTTAGGGCCTTAAAGGTTAGTACCGTAACCTTGAACCTGATCTGGTGTTCAACCGGCAACTGATGCAGCTGGCGAAGCACTGGCTGAATGTGCACCCACACAGGCATCCCAGGTGGCAGGCGTGCCATGGCATTTGGAACCACTGAAGTTTCCAGATCAAGTTCAAGGGCGGCCTCACAAAGAGGGAGATACAGCAGTCCAGCCGGAGGTGACCCCTGCATGGATCACTGTGGCTAAGTCACAGGAGGAAAGATAGGCTATCAGTTGCCTGACCAGCCGAAGATGGAAGAAAGCCAATCTGGCAACAGTTGTGACCTGGGCCTCCATGGAAAGAGAGATATCCGGAGTCACTCCTAAGCTCCTCACCATTGGCGCTGGCGTCAGTGATGCCCTGCCAACAGTTGGGAGTCGGATGCCTGATCCCAGACTACTGCGACTCAGGCACAGGACCTCCGTCTTCAACGGATTTAATTTCAATGGAGTCTGTTGTAACCAACCAGCCACGGCCTCCAGTGCCCTGGCCTATACATCCAGGGTGGAGTTGGGCCAGCCGTCCATCAACAGATATGGCTGGGTGTCATCAGCGTACTGGGGACACCCCAGCCCAAACTCCCAGATCAACTGGGAGAGCAGGCGCATATCAATGTTAAACACAACATCGGGGAAAGGATCGCCCCCTGAGGGACACCGCATACTAGAGGCCTCCGAAGGTCATCTATGAGGGCAACCAATGCCGTCTCCATCCCATAGCCAGGGCGGAAGCCGGACTGGAATGGATCCAAGACGAGAGGCGTCATCCAAGGAGAACCCCTGGAACTGTTCTGCTACCGCTCTCTCATCTACCTTGCCCAGGAATAGAAGGTTCAACACTGGGCGGTAGCTGGCGGGAACGAAAGGGTCCAGTGATGGGTTTTTTTTCCAAGAGTGGTCTCACCACTGCCTCCTTCAAAGACCCTGGGAAGGTCCCTGAATTCAGGGGTAGGTTAACAATATCTCCCGGGGGGACCGTAGTCCATCTCCGCTGGCCTTTGCCAGCCATGACGGACACGGGTCAAGGAGAAAAGGGGTGGGCTTCACAGCTGCCAGGATCTTGTCGACCTCCTCCTGGGAGAGTCGGCTGAAGTGGTCCCATGTTGGACCAGAAGACGCACAAGGGGCCTTCATACAGACATGCTTCGTACACTTCTTCCGATACGTACATACACAATTCGGGCATATGTGTATCTGAAGAAATGTGCGTGCACAGGGGTCATTTAGTAGAAAAAGAGGTGCAGGAGCTCATTAGCATAACTCATTAGCCAAACTTATTTGCATGTGCCACACCCCCTGACATCACCGGAAGTGTGTCAGAAGGCAACCCCCACCGCTCAGGCTCCACTGGACTGTTTTGGATTGCTAGCTATTGGGGGGAGGGGGAACGTGCAGATCTGTCCTCGCAGAGGAGGGAGAGCTTCTACCTGAATAAAACTTGGTCTTAAAGGTGCCACTGGACTGTTTTGGACTGGGGGGCCGGGGGGGGGGTAAGCTCTGCAGCTTACCTGGCTGCTTCTTGCTCTGACTGAGGGCTGCTGGGAGCAGGGGGTGCGGCTTGTTGCCTGTGCCCGCCCCCTGGGCTCTTTACTGCCAGAGCTCCGTTCCTGTGCGGTCCTGCATGAAATGACCCCTGTGCGTGCACATGAAAGCTTCTACCTTGAATAAAACTTGGTGGGTCTTAAAGGTAACACTGGACTCGGACTTTGTCCTCCTGAAAATCTTGTGGGTCTTTTAGGTGCTACTGGGCTCGAATCTGTTTGTATATGAGCGTCTCGCTTTCGCCTTCTTCAAAAAGCACAACCCCGGTAGCTTTGGCCATAGCTATCCACCTAGTCGAGGGTGGCGAGGAAAGATTCCCTCTGGGCAGCTGAGCAAAGCTGGCTTTGGCCCACAACTGGTTTACACTGATGCGGTGTGAGTCAGTGTACCAGGGGAAAGCCTAATAACCATTTTAGACGTATTTCTATAGCAGCATCACACATAGAAGCACCCAGCTGGCAGATACATCCTCACTCAGAATTTCTACAGGTCGGATCCTGTAGGTCCGCAATAATGGGTTTAAATGATGCGTGGAAAGCTACTGGCTGGATATTAGGAAACAATTTACTTTTTTGCCGTCGGAGTAGTTCAGCGGTGGAACGGGCTGCCGGGGAAGTTGGCGAGCTCCCTCACTGGCGGCCTTCAAGCAGCGGACGGACGGACACTGGTCAGGGGTGCTCTAGCCTGGTCCTGCATTGAGCAGGGGGCTGGACTGGATGGCCTCTGCGTGGCCCCTTCCGACGCTGTGATTCTCTGATCCATTCCACTGCACGTTCCTCAAGTCCAAGGATCCTTCTACTGATGCCGGAGGCTCTTCTAGAGTCGGGAGATGGCTCCTCGCACTGGGAGGGCAGCACCAAATGCACCTGCAGGGCCCAAGCTGGTAGCTGGGGCTTCCTCTGAAGAGACTGATTGGCTTTCCATAGAATAGAGGCCTGCTCAGAGGAACAGCTGTGTCAGATGAACGCGCTCTCAAAAAGCAACGGGCGCCCTGACGCCTCTTCCCTGGCTCATTCGGGGACATGGAGCAGATACACCCACTAATCTCTTAGCGGTTTGACAAGTCTTGACTTTCTGCGTTCAAATGTGTTTAAAAAACAAGGGAAGGACGCTACAGAAAGGCAGCGGCAAAAACAAACCCCTGAAATAAACGTAAGTGATGTACGTGCAGGCACTCACAAGCAGATACACACACACACGCAGGGCCTTTTTGTGGTACCCGTACTCAGGGCTCTTTTTGTAGCATGCTCTGCATATTAGGCGACACACCCCTAATGTAGCCAATCCTCCAAGAGCTTACAGTAGCCCCTGTAAGAAGAGCTCTGTAAGCTCTTGGAGGACTGGCTACATTAGGGGTGCGGCCTCTCTCCCAAGTTCTGATAGGAGAATGAGGGGAAATTGGCACAACCTTATATATGAGCACCAGCACCTTTGGAAAACTAAAAATAAAGCACTGTGTGTCAGTGTTCCCCTCTAAGCTGAGTTAGTGTGAGCTAGCTCACAATTTTTTAGCCTCCAGCTCACACATTTTTATCTTAGCTCAGGAAGGATGGCTCCAGTATGCAGCAGCCAAATCGCTTGCTCACAACTTTAATGCCAGTAGCTCACAAAGTAGAATTTTTGCTCACAGGACTCCATAGCTTAGAGGGAACATTGCTGAGTGTGTATATCAGGGGTCATTTCGTAGAAAAAGAGCTAGGGAAACTCATTAGCATAACTCATTAGCATATGCCACACCCTCTGACATCACCGGAAGTGTGTCATAAGGCCACACACCCCACCCCCAACGGTCCCGGCTGCCGCCGCCAGCCTTGCAGCTCCACTGCCGAGCCCTCCCCAGGCAGCCCATTCCACTACTGAACTGCTCTGACTGTAAAAAAACACCCAAACACATGGTTCCAGCCAACAAGAGAGCCAGTTTGGTGTAGTGGTTAAGTGCACGGACTCTAATCTGGGAGAACCGGGTTTGAATCCCCACTCCTCCACTTGCACCTGGCTGGATGACCTTGGGCAAGCCATAGTTCTGATAAGGGCTGTTCTTGAAAAAGAGCAGTTTCTGTCAGAGCTCCCTCAGCCCCACCTACCTCACAGGGTGTCTGCTGTGGGGAGGGGAAGGGAAAGGAGTTTGTAAGCCGCTCTGAGACACCTTCGGGTAGTGAAGGGCAGGGTATAAATCCAATCTCTTCTCTTCTTCTTCTTCTAACTCTTAAGATTAGAAGAAACCAGAAAGCAAACGTGACAAGACTCTGACATTTACCAGTAAACACTGAAGCCAACAATGCCTCCAGAAAGTACCCAGATGTCAACATCGTTTCCATCACTTACAAGTGAACGGTCCAACTGAAACAAGTCTTACGAGGAAAGGCTGAAAGAGTTGGGTAAGTTTAGCCTTGGAAAGAGAAGGCTTAGAGGGGACATGATTGCAGTCTTCAAGTATCTGAAGGGCTATCATGTAGAAGATGGAGCGGATCTATTCTCTCTTGCTCCGGGTATGTTGTAGGTATGTAGGGCTATCTTTCGGCTGTGCTCCTGCAGAGTGCAGGGGGTTGGACTAGATGACCTGCAAGGTCCCTTCCAACTCTAACATTCTACGATTCATGAGTTAGCTCGAGCGTGTCCAGAAGAGGGCAACCGGGATGGTGAGAGGGTTGGAATCCAAGTCTTACAAGGAAAGGCTGAAAGAGTTGGGTAAGTTTAGCCTGGGAAAGAGAAGGCTTAGAGGAGACATGATTGCAGTCTTCAAGTATCTGAAGGGCTGTCATGTAGAAGATGGAGCAGATCTATTCTCTCTTGCTCCGGATTGCAAGACTAGATCGAATGGGTGGTCCCTTCCAACTCTTACATTCTATGATTCTAAGAGGCTGTCCGGAAATGGACCTTCCTGGGCAGTGGCTCAAATCTTTCGCCAGCTATAACAATATTAATGGTTCAGACACATACAGCACGGCAGCTATTCGTCAAGGGAAACAAAGTGCTCCAGCAGTGTCAAGCAGGCATTGCTGCCAAATCTGGAGCATCGTCTTTCACCCTCCTGGGTCCCTGGCCCCACCAGACTGCGATATGAAGGACAGCTTTGCAGGATTAAACCTGAGTCCCAACTAATCCAGCATCCTGCATCCGGTAGGAGCCAGTCAGGTGCTCCTGGGAAGCCCGCGGGCAGGTGATGAGTCTTCTCTTGGGGAGCCTGTCTGCCTCGGATTCGCTAATGCAGCCAAGGCTTTAGTCCCAGAGAATCAGAACAAAAACGAAAACCAGCTTGAGATCTATTGCAGAATTCCTGGGCACCCAACCAACGGAGGCTCTCCCAGGCTTCATTAAATAGAAGAAGAGACTGGATTTATACCCCACCCTTCATGACCCAAAGAAGAGTGGCTTTACAATCTCCTTTCCCTTCCCCTCCCCACAACGGACACCCTGTGAGGTAGGTGGGGCGGAGAGAGCTCTTACGAGGACTGCTCCTGAGAACAGCTCTGAGAGAACTTGTGACTGACCCAAGGTCGCACCAGCAGCTGCATGTGGAGGAGTGGGGAATCAAAACCGGTTCTCCCAGATTAGACTCCGCGCTCCTAACCACTACACCAAACTGGCTCTCTGTCGAAAGACAAGTTCTACTGATTTAGCGGCATGCAGATTTTCTTCATCAACCTGGTGCAGAGTATGAAGGTTTTCAGACTACGGGAAACAGTGTTTTTTGTGTTGTTTGGAAGCGTTATTTATTCCCTTTAGGACAGGCATGGACACTACAGGGCTTAAAACCATTCCAGAGAATCACTCCCTGATCTTGGACAGTTGCCCAGCATTAATTCAGATGTGTGAGAGAGGTCTAGACAGTGACATATTTCCGCCAGGCATATGGTTGAGGACGGCGATGGTGCCATCTTCCTGACACTCCCAGCCCCCTCCCTCCCCTGTGAAGCCAGCAACACCACTAGAAAAATTTTAACGCCATCTTCGATTACTGCTGTGTTCTATCGGTTTTAATTTGCTCTTAATAATGTTTATATGATATTATGTTGTACACCACCCTGAGCCCGGTCTCTCTGGGGGAGGGTGGTCTAAAATCAAATTTAATAATTAAAAAAAATAGATAATAATTCGGAAGCATCTGGGTTATTGCCACTGTACCCGCAACCTCAGGCTGCAGCAGAGACAGAACTGACTTTTCTTCACATCTGGGCCACGAGGTCCAAAATAAAGATGACGGAAGCACCTTCACTATGGTGTTTCCTAGAAAATGGACATGGTCATAGGAATTTCCAGTTTGCTACTGATAAGACTACAAATTGGAGCTGGGGGGGAGGGGGGGATTATAACTAATGAACCAGGAATGCGGTTTTCAGCCGTGTTCCCTCTAAGCGGTGCATGTGAGCTCATCAACGCAGGAAGCCCCGCTCAGCAGCAATACGTTTTTGAGAGAATACTTTAAACTTAAGTGCCAGCTACAACAGACTACGAAGAGGGAAAAGAGTGAATATATTAATACACAGTGGGAACAATTATACCAGGCCACAATTTTAAACAATTCCAAAAAATTCTGGGCCATCGTTTTGGCGGCATGTCGTGCGGAGACCCCTTCTGTGTCTGCAATCTCTTCCCAAGTGTGGCTTCAATAGTTTTCCATCATTAGTCCATCAGGATGACGCCAGCACCATGGAACCCCCCCCCCCCAGACTTTTGAGGACTTACCTTGCTGGCCTCCTGTAACACCCGATGAAATAAAAGAACTGAACTAAATTGGCCCAAAACCCAACTAAAATAGGGTAAAGCCCCCAGCCCTGACATAATCGTACCTGAAATTCTAAAACTGGACCCTGAGTGGTGGGGCGAGCTCCCCTTGCGTCCTTTTTTACCAGGGTTGATGAATCTGGCTTTATTCCTGAGGCATGGCTAAATGCAATCGTGGTTCCGCCAGGCCTTCGATCAGGAGCCGCCCACATTGCCATCAACGACCACTATTAATATCTGTGGTGGAGGCTGGCTGCAGTGCGATCGAGCCAAACCTCGATCTGCTCAGTTCCGTAGGGCAGTTAAAACGGAGCTATTCCGGCAAGCATTCCAATAAGAACTGACTACTCCGGTGGTGTCGCACTAGCACTTTATCACGGGATGTATTCGCTGGGATTTTACGGTATTGTATTTATATATGTAATTGTTGGTTTTAACTGTATGTTGGTTTTAAACTGTTTGTAAGCCGCCCTGAGCCGCTTCGGCGGGAGGGCGGGGTAGAAATTTAAGAATATAAAATAAACCGCCTAGGAGCCTGTAATTGCCTGAGCCTGCATGACATGTTACACCATCTTGGTTAATAATCACTGAGTGCGCTTTAATCGGAAATCGTTGATTGTTTAAATGTTCTAAATGTTTGTGTTAAATGTTTTAAGTTTTAAATGCTTTGACTGTATATGAACCTTGGCACCCTGTGCCAGGCAAAGTGAGCCGCCCTGAGCCCGCTTGCGGGGAGGGCAGGTTATAAATACAATAGATAAATAAATAAATCTACAAAAAAGGCGACACCCTAAATCCTTCCAACTATAGACCAATCAGTCTGCTCTCCATAATGGGAAAACTGTATGCCAGACATTTTCTGTCTAAGCTTACTACATGGATGACAACAGAGGTTCTTACGCCCAGAACAGGTGGGCTTCTGTACAGGGAAAACTACTTTAGACCACTGCATTGTACTAGAGCATTAGATTTGATTAACGCGCAGGGTCTCGCACTGCCCATTTAAAAAGATTTCAGCCGTTATATCCTTCTCAGGGTGTGAACTGCTCCGCTCAGTGGGGAGGGAAGGGAAATGAGAGGGAACACTGGTTTCCAGAGTTTAAACTGTCGCGCTTTGTGGCCACAGCTCTAATTCAGATCTTTGCTTGCTCCTTGTAGATTGGGTTGGACCCTAGCAATTGTACGGGGGACCAGGTTCTTTAAGAGGTTCGGACTGACCAATGGGCAGCAGTTGGATTTACGAGAGGAGCAGGGCGTTTTCCTGGGAAGCCCACATTTGATTCTCGGCCTCCAGGTCGGGAATGTAGGAGGCAGGTATCTTTAAACGAAGACGGAGAATATAAAGTTTGGGACAGGTGAGTAGAAGCTCACTTGCTCAGCTGCTTTAGGAACAAGGTTCCCTCTAAGCTGAGTTGGTGTGAGCTAGCTCACAGTTTTTTAACCTCCGGCTCGCACAGTTTCGTCTTCGCTCAGGCAGGATAGCTCCAGAGCAAACTAATGTATGCAGTAGCCAAGTGGCTTACTGACAACTTTAATGCCAGTAGCTCACATAGTGGAATTTTTGCTCACAAGATTCCACAGCTTAGAGGGAGCATTGTTTAGAGGAAGCTTCCTTATTCTGCTTTCAGTTGATGCAGGCTGCGGATTTTTTTTGGGGGGGGGGGGAAGGAGAGATAACAATCCGCGTTGCCCTGACCTGGATAGCCAAGGCTCATATTCAGAGGGGAGACCTCCATGGGATACCAAGGCCATGATGTGGAAAGCAGGCAATGGCAGACTACTTCTGAACGTCGCTTGCCTTGAAAACCTCACGGGGCCGTCACCAGAGACCAGCTGTGACTTGATGCCTCTTCTCCCCCCACTCCCCCAATTTTAATACAGAACTGGCCTGTCTGGAGGCGTATTTCGAAATCTGTGCTGCGATACTGACTGGAGAAAGTCACCAGAGATCAGCTGTGACTTGATGCCTCTTCTCCCCCCACTCCCCCAATTTTAATACAGAACTGGCCTGTCTGAAGGCGTATTTCGAAATCCTACCTACTGACTGGAGAAAGTCATAATAAGTGGGGTGTGGCTGATGAGACAGACCGGTTGGAAGCCACCGAAGCAGCTAAGTGCCTGGGTCTGTGGCCCCGTTCTGCGCATTGTGCTCAGAAATCAGAGCTGCCGCACACTGGGACTTCTTCCCAGAAAAGCATGCGCGGGACTGTGGGCTTCGGAGGGTTCGAAGCACGCTGCGTGTACTATCGCACTCGATGGAAATACGGAACTCTTAAAACGCAAGTCAGTTCTCTCGCTTCAAGCGTCTCCGTTGCGCAAGACGGTTGAAAGTTAGGCCGGGTTACCTCTGTCTTCCATAAACTTGTAGAGCTGCTGCAGGAAGTTGTCCCTCTCTTCAGGATCAGGCTCTTCCTCGGGCTGTCAAAAACACACAAAATGAACAAAAAGGTTGAGAGGCGCTTCTGCCTTAAAGAGCTGTTTGTCAGCATTTTATCGGAAGGGCAGAGTCCCACAAAATTCCAATCCTTTTTTTTTAATTGATATTTTTATTGAGTATATAATTCATACTACATCAGGATAATTCATATCCTTGTACATTATACTCCTTTTCATAATTTAAACATGTGAAAAGCAATATTGAGGTTACATTCCAACTATATAACTAACAGATTAAACTTAAGCCCAGTCCGGTTTGTAGCTTGTTTGTTTCCTATTCCCTTATCCTAGCATTTTTCCTTAATACATCCTTTAGATCTTCCAGTAAGGTATAACGCATTCTTCTGACTTCTTTTCTGTTCATTCTATCATTATTATACCTAAAAAAACGGCTGGGGGTGGGGGAGAAGGCAGGACAGGGTTGCCTCTGATACCGAGGCTGAAGAGGAGACCCCCTAAAAAAAATCAGCAGGAGGAAACCCTCCTCCCTCTTACCAGAGGTCTTAGGGAGAGCACACCCTTCCTCTCCTTGCCATACCCCACTAGCTATAACTGCTTCTGTATTATTTATCACTTTGTATACTTTTACTAAATACTTCCCGCTTAAGACACAGTTCTAAATACCCTACTTTTTTTTTTTAAGGCACAGCGAAGAGAGAATTTATGCATCAAAATACACATTTTGGTATACAGGCCGCTCAGTCTCATGAACCAAGTTTGTAACCATGTATAAGAGGACAAGGAAATATCTTGAATTCAGACGTCAGACGAGAATTCACTAGCACTCCGGACCCTGGCAAACACCCCTGGCAAACACGCGAGTCAGCCTTCACTCTGCAAGAACCCCCTAAAGGCAGCATGGCAAGAGACTGTCGCACTGAGAACATCGTAAGTGACACGAAGCAGAGAACAGCTGAAACTGGGTGTTCTACCCCCAAGTTTATTTTCAGAAGCACTGGCCACGTCCACTGAATTTTCTTTAATGAAAAGATAGCCTCACGGAACCTAAAGTAAAATTTAAAAGCTAAGGATGCACACCTGAGTACATTTAGGTAAACGTAAAGGTTTCCCTTCCTCGAAAGCCAGTTGAATCCGACTCTAGGGTTGCGGTGCTCATCTCCGTTTCAAAGCCGAAGAGCCAGCACTGTCTGAAGACCTTTCCGTGGTCATGTGGCCAGCATGACTAGACGCCGAGGCGCACGGAACGCTGTTACCTTCCCACTGAAGTGGTACCTATTTATCTACTTGCAATTTCTTGCTTTCGAACTGCTAGGTTGGCAGGAGCTGGGACCAGAGACGGGAGCTCACTCCGTCATGCGGCACTCGGGTCTCAAACTGCTGAACTACCGACCTTCCAGTCTGCAGTTCAGAGTCTTAAACACTGAGCCACAAATACCCTACATTTACTAGGGACTAAACTTAGTCCAATCCCACCCTCACCCGGATTGGCCCAGGCTTGTCAGGTCTCGCTCGGAAGCGAAGCAGGGTCAACCAGCGTTAGTATTTGGGTGGGACACAGCTAAGGAAGTGCAGAGCCACTATGCAGAGGCAGGCAAAGGCAAACCAACCTGTTAGTCTATTGCCTTGAAAACCCTATGAGGTCACCATGAGCCGGGTGCGATTCGACGGCACGTTACGCACACAAACATGATTCGATGGGACGTGCTTCGGAGTGCCCGTGCTTCGGCTTGCTCGGCTAGTACTAAGGAGCGGCTTGAGGTAAGAACACTTGCTTTGCATGTACAGCGTCCCAGGTTGAAACCACAGCCCCAAAAGTCGCCAGGTGAGGAAGATCTCCGGCTCACTGGGGATCAGAGCATGTGCCGCTGAGCCAGAGGGAATAACGGCCCCGTTGCAGAAAAAGGACAGCTCATGCATTACAGGCCACACTTTCCAATAGATAAGCCCCCTTCCTTCCTGGCAGAAGCCCAAGAGGAATGAAACCAAGGCTCTTAAAGCAGTAATGCAGAATCTTGCCTATGGTATTTAAGGAGAGTGTGATCAAATCTTTCCCAGGTGGATCGGGCAGAAGGGACCTTTGCTGCCCTCCCAGCTTCTGTCTCTGAGCCCCATCCTGTTTCCTCCAAAAACTTGCTCCTTGGAGACCAAGGGGACCCTCGGAAGCAGCATGGGAGGCCACAGAGGATTACAGCCATTAGAAGGAATCTGCAGAAACGGTCTCCATCTATTCTCCTTTTGCAGAGAAGTCTGTGCAGGGGGATTTCCTCGCATTCTCTATTGCATCCCACATTGTTCAGGGGTATTCTCCCCCCCCACGCCGAATCCAACCTTCCAGAGCTCTTTTGCAGGGAGCCAAAGAGCGTGCAGAGAGCTCACCTGAGAGTTCCAATCCCATCGCAGACGCCTTGATCCCCAAACCCCCTTAACGGCAGAATAAAAAGTTAAAAATGCAACCAAGGGTGGTGCTTTTTTTCATGCTGAAGCCAATCTGCTGCGGCTTTTAATATTCTGTCAAATCACAGGAGGCGCAGCAAGGACAACCAGCTCCGTGTAAAGATTATGCATCGGTGGGGTAGCTGCCAGTCGCTGGGGCTCGCGACAAACGTGGCCGCATCTCAGTGGAACGTGTCGCCTGTGCAGTTTGCTTGCGACGGGAGGATGGATTCGGGGAGAGAGGGGAGAGCAGTATGACTGACTCCTCCTGACAAGGCTGCCTCCGTATCGACATGCTCACGGGAAAAACAAGACCCCACAGAGCCCAACCTGCTTGGGGGGGGGGGGGGGGGGGGGGTTGAGCAGATTTGACTTGCAAGGGTTTTTATTTCCCCCTCAAGGCATCCTGCAGATTGTAGGGCCTTCCTACGAGACAGAAAGCAGTGTTTCGGTTAAAAAAAAAAAAAGACAGGCCTACTGAAATTTTGGTAATGAACTTGGCACTTCGTGGCTTTCCCTCATTGCTGAAAAGCCGTTCGCAGCCCGGAACTGGAAAATAAATTTATTTCTTCTTTGACTGATGCTTGTGCATATTGGGAGGAGGCGCGGGGGGAGTGACATTCAAAGGGTCAATCGGTGCTCTTATTCTTCAACTGTTTCGGGAGAAGGAAAAGATCGCAAAGCAAATGTTTAGAGCCCTGAACTGCAGGTGCCGACTGGGCTCGGCCTTTTCTCAAGCACATATTTAACAGAGTACGCTCATTCCATGGATTCTGAGATCTCTCGTTTGCTTCTGGGACTTTGCACCACCCTTCATAGTTCATATGCTTGTGTACGTCTGCATTAAACTTCTAGAAAGTGACACACTTCACGGGGCAGACATTTTAAGCTTTTGTGTGCATGCACACTTCCTCAGATACACTGAAATGGAAGTTGCCAGTCCATACATGTAGGTAGAGGGTGAGCAGCAAATAAGCACACAGCATAATAAAAGTGTTTAACAGATGCACCTATATGTATGGACTGGCATTTTCCATTTCAATGTATCTGAGGAAGCGTGCGTGCACACAAAAGCTCACGCCTTGAATAAAACTTTGTTGGTCTTAAAGGTGCCGCTGGACTCAAACTTTGGTTCTGCTGCTTCAGGCCAACACGGCTGACCCACCTGAATCTGTTGTCAAAACAGTTCATTTACACACACTGACTTTAACCAGAAGCAGAGGGCCCTTGTGTACTCATTTTAGGGAGGGGAGGTGGCTCAGTGGTAGAGCATCTGCTTGGCATGAAAAAGGTCCCAGGTTCAATCCCTGGCAAACCCGTTGAAAGGAACTGATAGTAATAGCTGATGTGGAAGACCTCAACCTGCAATGCTGGAGAGCCGCTGCCAGTCTGAGTAGAATCATAGAATGTTAGAGTTGGAAGGGACCATCCAGGTCATCTAGTCCAACCCCCTGCACCCTGTGGGAGCACAGCCGAAAGATAGCCTTACAACATACCCGAAAGATGGCCGTCCAGCCTCCGCTTGATGACGTCCAGCGAAGGAGCATCCGCCACCTCCCGAGGTAGTCTGGTCCACTGCTCAACCACTCTTACAATTAGGAAGTTTTCTCCTGATATTCAGCCGGTATCGACTCCCTTGTCATTTCCACCCATTCGATCTAGTCTTGCAATCTCTTTCCCAGGCTAAACAGACCCAACTCTTTCAGCCTTTCCCCACAAGACTTGGATTCCAACCCTCTCACCATCCTCGTTGCCCTCTTCTGGACACGCTCGAGCTTGTCAACATCCTTCCTAAAATGTGGTGCCCAAAGCTGGACACAGGACTCCAGGTGAGGCCTGACCACAGTAGAATAGAGCGGAACTACCACCTCCCGTGATCTGGACACAATGCCTCTGTTAATGCATCCTAAGATTGCATTAGCTTTCTTTGCAGGCACATCGCGCTGCAGGCTCATGTTTACCTTGTGATCAACCACCTAGATCCCTTTCACATGTGCTGCTGTCAAGCCAAGTCCCTCCCATTCTACATCTGTGCGCCTATCTAGATCCTTTTGAATCCTGACTCTGTCTTCTTCAGAATTAGCAATCCCACCCAGCTTCGTGTCATCTGCAAATTTGATAAGCATCCCCTCTATGTCTTCCTCCAGGTCATTTATAAAAACACTGAACAAAACCGGGCCTAGGACCGAGCCCTGCGGCACTCCACTCGAGACTTCCTCCACGTAGACGCGGAGCCATTTGCGAGCACTCGTTGGGTACGATTTTTCAACCAACCATGAATCCATCCAACAGTTGCACCATCCGGCCCACACTTAACCAGCTTATCCTCACGGATATCATGAGAAACTTTGTCACATGCTTTACTGAAATCTAGATACACTATATCCACAGCATTGCCAGAGTCAACCATTTTAGTAACTCTGTCAAAAAAGGAGATAGGGCCGGTCTGAGTAGGCAGTACTGACGGATTGATAGTCGGGTTCAGTATAAAACAGATTCATGTGGTGATCTGACCTATCACACTATGGAACAAGGTGGGCCAGAACAGGAGGCTGTGGCTTGGTTCCAGATGACAGGCTTTACATACA